GACTAGTTCATCCCTTTGCCTTAAGTCGTAGTTGAGGTGCCACCGACAACTGCAGGGAGCACAAGCTGTCAAGTCCATGAGGGTTCAGCTGAAGGTTATGATATCGAACCTTTTGACTGTTATAATTGTACGACCAGTTCTGCTGAAATTGTCATCTCTGCGAGTTGCATAGATCGTTGTATTGGCATGGGTTGTAGTTAATGAAGTGTTTTTTTTTTTGGTTTTCAGAAATCTGCTGTGGCCAAGCACTTCGTGGCTCTCTCCACCAATGCTGTAAGTTTACTCTGAACACAACGAAAGTGGATCATACTTTCTCAAAACAAAAAGCTTAGTAAAGGGTTTTTAATAAGTGTCCCTCTTAAAAGTAAAGTCCTTTAAATTAATAGGATTGAACAATCTGGAAAAATAAATGGCATTAATCTAGTTTAATCCTGATAAATTATATACTTTGTGTTTTTTGCATCTGATGTTGGGATTCTTACAACTGTTTAAAGCGATCTGTATGGTGAAAGATCTCTGAGGGTTACAGCTGATGTATCCTATTGGATCATCTTAACTTGTTTAACGTTAATTTAGCAGAAGCTGATGTCTGCTGTGAACCCCACCTATTTATCTGCTATTGAATGTGTTGCAACTGGTAACCTAGAGTGTTTCTCAGAATAGAGAGGCAGGTAAATGCCTCAGATACTGAAGAGAGCTGGTCTACCTGCATGCATGGATTTATTCATTATGATCTTGCTTGTAGGGCCCCCTTTCTGTCCACACCAAAAGTAATAAATCTTCAGCTCATGACTGGTGGTGGGCAATATTCACAAGCACCTCTCAAATCCATGCTCTTCATATTTCTGGAACCAGATATACACCCCATTAACACATGGCATAAAAGCACATATGCTTGTTCATATGCCAAGGCTTTTTTTTGCCATCTCTTGGCCAGTTTGTACAGGTGCCCTGCCTTTCCCTTGACTCTCCCCCCCTACCTTGTGTCTTTCAGCCCAAAGTGAAGGATTTCGGGATCGATACGAACAACATGTTCGAGTTCTGGGATGTAAGTATGGGATGCTCTCTCCCGCTTCACGCTGGCCTGGGCCTGAGGGCTTGGGGTATAAATAGCTCAGTCCTATACCCTGTGAAGTAGCGTCTGGGCACACAGACGGACAGCTGCTGGGAAACCGGAGCTGCCTCTCTGTGCTGCTGCTTCACTCTCTGGTGTTATTATGGGCCCTGACCTTCTCTCTCATCCTGAGGTCACTGGAAAAGCAGGGCCACAGCAAAGGTCGTACAGTTATTTTCAGTCGCATTATCCATATTTGAAAGGTAAATGTCTTTAAGTTTGAGTTAGTGTAACATGCAAATTGTTTCGTTTTTTTTTTAAGGGGAGTTAAAATAAAGAGCATCGAGATGACGATCAACATCAAAGATGACTTGTCTCAATTTCTGACCTTATTACGAGTGCTTTTCAGATCCGTCACTCCTGGCCCCACGATGCTTTGAATTAGAATATCCTAATAATGTTAAAGTTCAATAAGAATGTTAGGAAGATGCAGTGTTTCAAATATTTGCCTTGATGGGTTTAAATGCTTTTCAGTAAGAGCAGATGCGATATGGCCTATTTTTAGTGTTACGGCATTTCGGTCAGTGATGACCTTCGTCTTTCTCGGCTCTGAAGGGCAAGCCGATCTCTGGCATCCCTCACAGCCGCCTGCAGTTGAGAGCCCTGTCAGAGGAGTGCCTGGATGTCCTGGGGCCCATCTGAGGACCAGTGAGAGGAGAAGGGCCTGCTGCCAGAATTCCTCCGTTGGAAGGAACGGGGGAGGGAGGGAGAGAGAGAGAGAGAAAAAACTGACCCTCTTTCTGGTTTCCTTTTTTCCAGTGGGTTGGCGGGCGTTACTCCCTGTGGTCAGCTATTGGGTTGTCAATTGCTCTGCACATCGGTACGTCTTTTACTAGACTCATCTGCAGCTACAATGGGTTTGAATACGTTGATGCTACTGTGCCTCTGGCCCCAGACTGTGGCGTTCTTACTTGTCTGGCAGCTCCAGAGTCAGGTTGGGGCACCTGTGTGTGTGTGGAATTTGCATGTTCCCCCCCATATTCATTTGTGTTTTTGGCCTGTGCTTTGGTTTTTAACCCACCCACTGTACCTAGGACATGCAGGTTAGATTTGATTGGCTATTCTAAATCTAACCTTTTTCAGGGGATTCAATACTGGGTTGCTAATTGAACTGCCTTTAATTGTCCCACTTGCGTGTTCAGACTTCTGCACTCTGTTTTTGGGCTTTACTTCAAATGCATTGCTCCAACAGCAGCAGCATGTGTAACTGACCTTCACACGTCTGACTTTTACTCCTCCCTTATTCATCTCTTAACAGTTGATTAATAATAATGAACAGACAGGTGGGAAGCTATCAAACACTCCCACCGT